TTAAAGTTAATTAATTTTATTATTCACAAATTAGAATTCTTTTTACTTTTTAACCCTTTTTAGTTTTTTTTTTATTGGATTAGGTTAACCCATCCCAGAAACACAACCAGCTATTTAAAATAAAGAAAAACAGATCAAACCCACAAAAATAAAACTTGCAATTAGGCTTCATCAGTTTAAAGGAAGAACACATTCATCATAACAGAAAAATCTTATTCACCAACACAAAAAAAAGGCACACTCATCAGACAAAATGAACTGAACAATTTTTTTTTTTCTTTTGATTTTTCATTCATTTTCCAACGAAACACATACAAACTTAAACACAGATCTAAACAAAATCAACAGAAAATAACAAAAACACCCACGGCGGAATTTTTAGGAGGTAGATCCAGATCGGAAGGGAGGGATCCCACCCACGGGACCAGGCTCCGTTCGTCTCCTTCACTATCCTTCCCAAAAATCCCTCTGTTCAAGAGGTTACCTAAAGCAAGAATACCCTTTTGTATTCCCACCTCCAGCGAGCAGAATCGATCTTCTTTTCAAACTAAACTCGAAAATCAACTAGCAAAAGACCCCCCTCTTCTCCTCAGAATTTCCTTCTTCTGCTCTCAAAAACTCAGACGAGACTCCCCAGCAAACAGACCCAAAATCAACCCACCATCCCCCTTTCAATCTGATTTTTCTCTATATATATATACCCAAATAAAAGATAAAAATAAAGATAAAAATAATAAAAAAGCCTTGCTCTGTCAATCAATAATAATGCTAATTTGTCTGGAGCCGCTGTAGCGTGCAGAGGCAGAGCAGCAGGGGTGCAGCAAGGCTCGGTGCAGGGTCATGATGCTGGCACAGAGTGTAGGCGTGCAAGCAACGTGGGTTCGGCGCAGCAGGCGGCAAGGGGATCTGGTGCAGCAGAGGATCCGGCTTTTTTGGCAGAAGCAGGAGTGCAGGATCAAGTGCAGGTGTAGCAGAGTGCAAGGCACGAGCGTGCAGGGGCGCAGGGGCGCAGGCTCGGTGCAGCAGGGAGCGCAGAGAAAGGAAATCTGGGTGTGATCGGGGTGCAGGCTCGGTGCAGCAGGGGCGCAGGGGCGCAAAGGGGAAAGTGCAGGCGCAGGGTGCAGGGGCGTAGCGCGCAGGTCACGGGGCGCAGGCTGGTTCGGGGAAAATAACAAATTGATTGGGAAAGAGAAGGTTCCAGACACCTTCTCTTTTTTTTTTTTGTTTTTGGGTTTGGGTTAAACGGGTTTTGGGTTTGGTTTTTTTTTTGGGTAATTTTGGTTTGGGTTTTGATGGGTTTTGGGTTTTGATTTGTAAATTCATTTTGATGAACTTCACCCCTCCAACTTTTAATTTCTTCAATTGAGTCCCTTCTTTCTTCTTCTTGAATTTTCCAATTTCTTTGTGCATGTAACACCTGAAATAAAATAAAGATATATTAGTCAAAGAAAAGGAAAATTTTCATATTTTTATATTTTTGATTTTTTTGTTTTTAATAAAAATTTGAGTTATGACAGTTGCCCCTCTTTTCTTTTCTTTATACCAAGAATGAAAAGAAAAGACAAGTTATAAAGAAAAGACAAGAATAACTCAAAATATTCACTATCTTTCTTTTTCTTTTTCTCTTTTTTTTTTTTGTTTAAACTAAACTAAACAAGTAAAGTAAAATGTGTCGAATGACTTAACAGGTAAAGTAAAAACAATTAAGAAACCGCAACGGTTGAATGACCGAACAAGTAAAGTAAAAACGGTTATAAAACCGCAACGGTCGTATGACCGAACAAGTAAAGTAAAAACGGCTATGAAACCGCAACGATCGAATGACCGAACAAGTAAAGTAAAAACGGTTATGAAACTGCAACGGTCGAATGACCGAACAAGAAAAGTGAAAACGGTTTTATAATGTCAACGGTCGAATGACTGAACAAGCAAAGTAAAAATGGTTTTATAACCACAACGGTCAAATGATCGAACAAGAAAAGTGAAAACGGTTTTATAACCGCAACGGTCGAATGACCGAACAAGCAAAGTAAAAATAGTTTTATAACCACAACGGTCAAATGACCGAACAAGAAAAGTGAAAACGGTTTTATAATCGCAACGGTCGAATGACCGAACAAGCAAAGTAAAAATGGTTTTATAATCACAACGGTCAAATGACTGAACAAGAAAAGTGAAAATGGTTTTATAACCGCAACAGTCGAATAACCGAACAAGCAAAGTAAAAATGGTTTTATAACCACAACGGTCAAATGACCGAACAAGAAAAGTGAAAACGGTTTTATAACCGCAACGGTCAAATGACCGAACAAGTAAAGTAAAAATGGTTTTATAACCGCAAGTTGAGTAGCAACGATTGTATAACCGAGCTAGTTGGGTAGAAACGGTTTTATAACCGAGTAAGAAACAGTTTTATAACTGAGCAAGAAATGGTTTTATAACCAAATAAGAAACGGTTTTATAACCAAGTAAGTTGAGTTGCAACAGTCAAACGACTGAGCAAGTTGAGTAGCCATGGTTGTATAACCAAGCTAGTTGAGCAGAAACGGTTTTATAATCGAGCAAGAAGCAGTTTTATAACTGAGCAAGAAATGGTTTTATAACCAAGTAAGAAATGGTTTTATAACCAAGCAAGAAATGGTTTTATAATCGAATAAGTTGAGTTGCAACAGTCAAATGACTGAGCAAGTTGAGTAGCCACGGTTGTATAACCAAGCTAGTTGAGCAGAAATGGTTTTATAACCAAGCAAGAAACAGTTTTATAACGGAGCAACAAATGGTTTTATAACCAAACAAGAAACGGTTTTATAACCGAGTAAGTTGAGTTGCAACAATCAAACGACTGAGCAAGCTGAGTAGCCATGGTTGTATAACCAAGCTAGTTGAGTAAAAACGGTTTTATAACCGAGCAAGAAACAGTTTTATAACTGAGCAAGAAACAGTTTTATAACTGAGCAAGAAATGGTTTTATAACCAAACAAGAAACGGTTTTTTAACCGAGTGAGAAAATGGTTTTTTAACCAAGCAAGAAACGGTTTTTTAACAGAGTAAGAAACGGTTTTTTAACCGAGCAAGAAAATGATTTTTTTAACAAGGAAGAAAGGTTAAGAAACTTCCCTGAACATATTGGATGTCCATACTTGGCATGAGTCAATTGTCCTTCATGTTGTGCATCCATTAATAGGCTTGATGACATGTTTTGCATAAAGTTCAGTGACTTGGGAACATCTCTAGTTCACTGGGGAAAATTCTCGAATCATTACAAGATAAGATAAGCACCATGACCGTTGAATCAAGCTTTTGCTTTTCTCTACAACTCTCATCTCATTTTCAGATTTGTCAAGAGATTTCAGTTAAATAAAGCAATTATATTAATTGAAATAAAGCATCATAACCAATCAGCCTCCCAATCTAAACAAGGAAAAGAAGGCCAGGGCATGGATAATATGTATGGATAGAAAGAGATAAACATGATTTTTGAATTGCACAACTTTTGATGCAACAATTTTAACAAACTAGAAGGCATTCAGGCTATAAAGTATTTGCTTCAAGAATTTATTTCTTTTGCAACTCCACCAATCCAGTCTTTAGCATATGAGACAATGTCTACTTTCATGTCAAGGTGGACAAATCCAATCTATCTCATTCCCATGAACTAACCTTCAATGTTTAGAAGACCGATCATAAACCATCGAGCTTTTAGTTATATTAATTGACTTGGACTCACTAGAGAAAGGATTTTTTTTTTTTTTTAAATGTTCCTTGACAAAGAAAGTTTCAAACCCTCAAATAAGGACTTTATATAGGCTTGTAATGTGGCTTGGGGTTAGGCTACCATAAAAGAAAGGGTAAAGGCTCAAAATCAATTTCTTCATATATTCCCCTCACATTTCTCTCTTCACAACCCCGGTCATTAATGTGGGTTAACAAAAAGAAAATCATCTTGGCTTTTCTGAATTTGGATGATTGCCTTTTTCTAGCGCAAAAAGGGTAAGCAAAGGACAATGTTATTGTTTAGGATAAAAAAACAATGCCTTTCATCATTGGATCTTCAACTTTCCAAGTCAAGGAAACATTTAGCTTACTAGGTCACCCTTTTCTTCCCTTTTTTCTTCCCCTTTTTTTTTTATGGAAATTCATGATCAAACTAAAAGTTGTTATGTGGCTTTGGGTTAAGTTATCAAAAAAAGGATATGAAGGGTCAAAATCTCTTTCTGTTGGTATTTCCCTTTCACAATCACTCTTCACTCCCCTGGTTCATGATGTAGGTAAATTCACAAGAAAATCATCTTGGCTTTTATAGTTCAGATGATTGCCTTTTCTTTAGGCACAAAAGGGTGACTAAGAACAATGTAAAGTATTTAGGATAAACAAACATGGCTTTCTCATCATTGAATCTATTAGCTCTTGAATTTGATCATGATTTGCTATTCTTAGTCTAATGATTGCCATCATTTTGATATCTAAAGCCTCAAAACCCTCAAAAAGGACTTTTCCTTGGGTTGTAATGGGGTTTGGTTAAGGTTTTGTGAAAAGAATGAGAATTAAAGGCTCAAAATTTCCCAACATGCCCCCCTAAGTTACATGCTTTAGCTAGGAGCTTTCCATTTCAACCCTTGCCATGTGACATTTGCATTGTCATTTCTCTTTTATCTTCTTTCTTTTGTCTTTTTTTTTTTCTTTTTGTTGAGCTTTTGCTCTTTTTGAGCTTTGCTCCTCTTTTGAGATTTCTCTTCATGGCTTTTAGCAATATGATCTTGCCCCCGATTAGGCACATAACTATATTCCCTGGTTTTGGGATAGGTATGAAAGAAAAGGCTCACTTTTCTTTTTAGGCTCAACTTGGTTGACGAAATGATGGCTTTTTTTGGGTAAAGTGTTTGGCAATTAGGCTCATGAAAGATGGCTTTGATCCTTGAGCTTTTCACTTTAGACCTCAAAATGATGACAATCATTCAACTTAAGTTAGTAAGATTTCCTTATTCTCTCCTTTTTTTTTTTCTTTTTTTCTTTTTTTGTATGACTCTATCACATTGACTGCAACTTTGCCTTTGATTTTGCAACATTTCAATTAGCTCATGGGAAGAATCTAGATCACCAACATCTTCCTCGACATGGATTTGGATCATTTGAACCATATACCAATTCTAAAATGGCATCATTGTATTCAGATTCATCATTAGCAAAGCCTGAAAGCAAAAAGAAACATGGATAAACAACAGCATGTGAGGAAAGCATATATATGCAAGTAAACTTTTTGTTCTTTTTTGTTTTTTTGATTTTTTTTTCTTTTTGAGCATATTAATGGCATCAAAAAGAGTTGCATCAAGTTTGAAAGATGACAATATGGCAACATATGTTACTAAATTGTAAAGACTGGGAAAACTAATTAGCATGATAACAAATATTTCAGAGAATATAAAAGAGCTTGTTATTCCCTCCTTTCATGTAGCCACAAGCTGAGCTACTAGAAAGCTGACTCATCCCACTCATGGATGAATGAAGCAGAGAAAAGCTTGACTGTCCAATTGGCCAAAGTGCCCCCAAGGCAGAAGTAATGGTCATGTCAAATAGGGGTTCATCCTTAAGAGCAATAATACTTAGGTTTCCCCATGTCCTAAATCTGCCACCTCATTCATTGAATTTAAATCGACATGTCTCGTGTGTAAGTCCACTTCAACATCATATCTTGGTGAGTTTATACAAGCATGTTGAGGCCGCCTTCTAGATGGATGATGCATTGCTCCAAAGAGAGAGAAAACATAGGGAGATTGTCATGCTTGATTTTTTTTTTTTGTAGTAGTAGTTTATGAAGCCTACCTGCAAACAAAAAGTAAAAAAAAAAATAAACAAAGTCAGAATAATGTTAGAAGTCATCCCATAATTTTGCATGATTTAGTGTTTCAACAATTGCTATATGGATTCATACATTGTCGATTTCCAATCCTTAAGGAGCCTCGGATAAAGCAAAATATCTTTGAACCCCTTGAGATTTCCATAGACTCCAAGGGCTGCATAGAAGACATTTACAAGTAGTTCAACATGCACTACAAAGATGGTCATTCATTACAAAGTAAAAGCCTAGTACATCACACTAAATACATCAACATGGTAGCATTCAAGTTCCTAGAAAAATCTGATTCCTAGATCTCTCAAAGTATGATTGTTCAATGAGTAGTTGCATTCCTTTCCTTGGAGAATCCCTTAATTGCTAGAGCTATATAAAGTGCGATGTGCTTGAGCTTTTGATCTTCGAGGTTGCTCTTGGTTCTTGTCCTTCTAAGCTTGCCCCTTGGACTTGGCAATTGTCAACGATGGGGAAAATGCTTGCAATTGAAGATCTCCTTAATCCTCTATTGGTCAAAACTTTCTCCATTGATGAATATTTCAAAAGGTGTCTTGATTGATGAAGAATCACATTTGACCATGTATGAATCCATATTTCAATTGTTGAAGGCAAAGAATCAAACAAGATTATGGGAGTGCAAGGAAAGAAGTAAACATGGATGCCAAACAATAGATAAAGGATGAAGGAACATGAATATGCTCTAAAGTGATAATGTGTGTGGAGTTGTATCCTAAAGCATGTATTTTTGGGAATGCACGAAAAGAAATAACCATGGATGGGAAATGAGTGATAAGGGATGCAAGAATATAAATATGCTGACAAGTGGTAAGGTGTGTGAAATTGTATCCTAAAACATGAATTTTTTTTTTTTTTTGATGATTCACCATTGCAAACACTAAATTGGCATTCATGGGAAATATCATTCCTTTGAAAAGAATGCAAATGCCATGAAGCTTGAAGAAAAAGTGAATGGTGTGATACTTGGAGAAAATGGATGATGTGATGCTCCAAAATCATGTGCTCAAATTATTTTGCTGTCTAAAAGATGGATTTTTCATGAATTTATCTTGGAAGAACCTCTTTTTCTCTTTTCTTTTCTTTTTTTTTTTTTAAATGTGAAATGCTTTGGATTTAGTTGAATAAGGCCCACAAGTTTGAAACATGCAACAAAATGCAAGATGGTGAGAACTTCTTCAAATGAGAGCTTGTACATTTTTTTTTTTTTTTTGAAAACCATGACTTAAAGGTCTTGATTGAAGAACAAGAAAAATATGAGGGTCAAATTTGATTTAATTTTAAACATGAAATGAGCATGAAATGAATGTAAATTTGACATGGGATGGAAAATGTGATGTAAGGTTGAATATGAGTTGCAATGAAAAATGGGATTGAATGAGAACTGAACATGGATAAGATTTTTTTTTTTTTTATGCAATTTTTATAAAGCATAAGACAATGAAAGATAGTGATGGTTGAAAAGAAATGTAAGATGGAAGATGCAATGCAAACTGCAAGTAAATGAAATTTTCATGTACATTTTTATGCACTTGTTTTTGAACTATGAGATGGAAATAGTGGTGGTTGGAATGAAATATGTAATGAAAAGTGAGATGTGAAATGAACATGGGAGAAATTTTCATTTTCATGCCCTTTTTTTTTTTTGTTTGCAAAATGTGAAAAGGATGAGATGAAGAAATATGAGGGGAAAACTACCAATATGGATAAAATTTTCATTTTTTTTCATTTTTCACCATTTTTAAATTTTTTTTATGCAACTTTTATGAAATATGGGAAATATGAGATAGAGATAATAATGCTTGGAATGAAAATGTGAAATGCATGTGAATGAGATTTTTTTTTATGCAATTTTAATATGAGATGGAAGATGTAGTGTACTAAACATGGGTGGAATTTTACTTTTTTTACAATTTTTTTGTGAAACATGAGATGAAAATGAAATTTAAAATGAACAAAATGGAGAATGCCGCATGAGATGAACATGAAAATATATTTTGCAACGCATGAGATGGAAAATGCAATGCAATGGACACATGACAAGTGAAATTTGCAAGACATATGGAAGATTTAATGTGAAATGAGTAGGATGCATATATGGCATGTGAAACAATCATGAACTTTTTCTTCTTCTTCTTCTTCTTCTTCTTCTTCTTCTTTTTTCAATGATGTATGGGGTTGAAAATGAAGATACCAAGTGCATGGAATGCTCCTAACCTCAAGAATGATGTCCAAATGCAGAAGATGAATAACAAATCATACCTCAAATGTATATAAAAATGAAAACCTGTCATGCGCGGAGACAAAGTTAGTAAAGAAAAATGCCCCTTTTGTGTCTTAAACACTAGACGCCTAGCCTCACGTGTGGGATGCTAAGGGAAACATGTCCTAGGGCCGGTATCTCTTTAAGGCCACTACATGTTTTCCTAAAGGGCATTAGGCCTTCTCAACCATTTATCCTTTCGGAATTAACGGGAGATATTTCCAAAAGCTAATACACAGAATGATATTACATCATCAAGTGTCGTATTAGCCAATGGAAACAACCTAACGGGAACCAATCTTACTCCTCAAAGTGGGAAGAATTGCTCTCCCAAGCTAGATTCATAAGGATTCCAGACTAGAGACCGGGTTCACCTCCGACACGGACCTAATGCAAAATGAGGGTGAGTGTGTGCAAAGGGGCATGACACTTCAATAACCTGCACAATGGCAACCACAAAAATAACAACATATATCCTACAACAATCAAATAAAGCATGTAAAGCACTCAATAAATATATCATCCACAAACAAACCTACTTACACAGCAGGAAGGGACTCACCTCGTACTCCCATGCCAAATGCAAAAGGTTAGTAACACAAAGCAACCAACATTTAGCATGCAACAAGATATAAATAATTGCACAAGAAGGAAGAGACTCACTGAGTACTCCATAGCCAAGTGTAAAATGTGAGTATATCCACACACAAACAAGTAGGCATATAGGCATGATGCATGGTGAATAAGCATGTTATATTGATGATGGATGAGCATGTGAGATGATATGATGCATGAACATGTTAGCAAGGTATGATGCATGTCAAGATGTAGCAAGATAACTACTCACAGGCAAAACAATCAAAGCAACCACTAAAACTTTGAGCAAACAAACAACAAGCAACACACGACAAGCACGTACAATAAATAACAAAGACCCATAAAGACTCAACAAACATAGAAAAAATCAAAGGTTGAAAATTCTCCAAGGTTAAAGTATTAGCTCGACCCTCATTAACCCAAAATATGGAAACCAAAGATTCTGGGTTCTTTCCCCAGTGGAGTCGCCAAACTGTAATCCCAGCTAGTTACCCAAGAGGGGGGGTGAATTGGGTCTTGTCAATTTAAACTCAAAAACTTGTTTCTTTTTCTTTCAAGACTTAAATCAAAGCTGCAATTTATAAGCTATTGTGCAGAATAAAACAAGAGTAATATAGTGCAGAAAAATAAAAGAGAGGGAAGAGAAAATCAAGCCGC